GAAGTATGGGGGGGGGGGGGGGGGGGTGGGGGGGGTGTTGGGACTGCTGGTTGTAGGCACTTGTTCAAAGTCTGTTCTAGTCTGAACGGTCCAGTCAGCTTGCGTACGTGTACGGAGTATCTCTGTCTACTGTGCCCGCCACCCCGTTTGTCTGGTTCATCACTCAATGCGACTTTAGAACGGCTTTGATCGAGATTGGAGCAAGCATGGGATGCCCCATGATGGGGGTGTCTCTAGAGCCGACCACGGACCGGTGAGCCATGGCCTAATACAGCATAGCGGTCTGTTGGAGTGAACCAGGCTCATTTAGGCATGTTGGATTCCCAGGTACGAGCCGGCGTTGATTGGTCGACTCCCACCCGGACCCGGCCGTGCCCATGCATCGTAGTTACTACCCACCCTTCTCTAATTCTCGTCCAAGCACACCAAAACACGGGAACTGCCAGCTTGGGCCAACTTTCCGCTCGTCCCATCTTTGTTTCCATAGCGAGTCATATTCTTCACGTTGTGAGCTACTCCCCAACATCAACAGGGCAACAATAGCCTCGAGCCCAAAGGTGAGCAAGACTAGCAAGTAATCGAGGGCGATTTTGTCTGATAAATACAGTACAGAACTTGGTAAGCGAAGCGCAAAACACACTGCAACGTCCAGCGCTCCGGTGCTAACGGCCAACACATGTTGAATACTACGGAGTACTCTGTAGCAACGTCTGGTGTTTCATCTCCATCGTACTGGGCGTTTGCTGCCCATGTCCGAAATCTGACCCCACACTAGCAGGTTTGTCGATGGACATGGAACTCGCAGCAACGCAAATTCATTCGTAGTTTGCCTTGAATCACCGCCTTTCTACAGCAAATCATCTCTGCTACGCTGTCGGAATGGCGACTCTCCAGGTAGACAAGGTCAACAGAATGACACGCACTCGGTACTCTCTGCCGAAAAGGCGCAGGTACTCCCTACTTGGGAAGATTTTGACTGTCACATTTTTACAAAGACCTGCTCGAGTGGTCCACTGCATGAGGAGTCAGGACCCAAGGCGTTCACAGCCAGCGGGCGATGCGTCACTTCTGCAGTTCCACGAAGCGACAAGTTTTTTTTTTCCCCTCCCCTTGCCCTCCGTGTGGTCTCAGCGTCCGCGACGTCTCCATGAGCCTCCACGCGTCAACCCCCTGGCGGCGGAGAAGTAGACATGTGAATGACGAGATGGATTGGTGCCACGACGGCTTGCATGGCACATGCACTGGAGTCTCAATTCAGGCACCGCGAGATGCAACTGGTCGGTGTTGGACCCTCCAGAGCAGCCGCGGAGCTTAATGGCGCCAAGTGCCAAGTGCCAGGCGCTCAACGCTACGAGCCATCAGACAGCCAGCGATTTCTGTCCAAGTTTGTTTTTCCCATGGACGCTGCTGGCCGCCTGTCCGCGTCTTGATGGGTCCACGGAGTATAGAGAAGGTTAATACCTATTCCCTGTTTTGCACACCGATGGATCAGATCACTCCGCAAATAGCACATATACACATGGTCTGGTTCATAATGGTGGAAAAAAGGAAGCAAACTTTAATCAATCCCTCTTTCAAGATCCACACGTGTTTGAACGTCTCCAGGCGGGGCGCGTGGCCGGGGGGGCAACACATACAACACATGATATGTACAAGGCCCGGGCAGCAAGTGAACATGAGTTGGCATACAAAGTCCTACAGTAATATGTATATATTATCGGCTGCCGGCCTTTCTTTGTTCGTTTGTTGCCCTGTCCCGAGCGCAATGCAGATCTCCGAGGTCACATCATGGGCTCTTTAGTCGACGAGACAAGGGGACGCATGTGGCAGCCTGGCAGGCAGGGTGACACAAGACGGGTGACCAGGAACGGGCCCGGCAGCCTTTCTTCGGCCGCCCTGCGCTGGAATGAAAAGAAAGAAAAAAAGACAAGACTGCTTTGTATTTGTACTGTACGTCTGTGTACGGAGTAGCACGAGTCCACGCGGCCCCTCGACCGACGCCGAGCCTAAGCATCACCAACGACCTGTCACCACAACTAGCGTCCAACCAACCAACACTGCCCTCTTTCTTCATCTCGCTTTGCCTCACAATGGCCCTCCGCCGCGTGCTCGACACGAGGGCCACGCAAGGACCTCGTGCTCTCTCCCTCGACCCAAGTACATGTACACACTATGCGTCTTGGCCCAACAACAACGCTGCAATGTTGCTGACTCGGTACACTTGATTTATTTTCCTGCTCCTCCTTTGTTCAACCTCCCCGGCGCCGCTACCCATGCCATGCAAGCCGCTTGCGGCAGATTCATGCCGACACCTGGAGTGCCGGAAAACTACATCCTTGGTCCCGCTCCATGGCACCACCACCACCACCACCACTCGTATATTGGGGGAAACGACGCAGTACGGAATATGCTTATACAGTGTACAGAGTACTCTACTCCGTGCAGACGACGTCAGCAGCCCTTCCCAGTCCGCCCACCCGAATCCGTCCACGTAAGCTGCCACCGCATCAGGGGTATGCATGGATTGCCCGTCTCCCTTGAACTTGACCAGACCCCGGGTCTGGCCAGGAGGAGGCGAAGCCAGGTCTAGCTACCGAGTACGGAGTACACACCTCTCTATTGTCCAGTCGACGTTGTAAGCAGACACATGTTTCGTTTCGTTTGTCATTTGCCGTCGTTTGCTTTACTTGATCTGCATTGATTCTTTCACCACATGCGAGGGGGCTTGAAAGGAAAGACAAAACCCGTCTACTATTGTCTGGACATAAAAAGAAAAAAAACTACCAAGTCGAACGCTGTACAATAGCAAGTAATCATAAGGATCGTTAATCCCGGCTACCGCCAATAGTTAACTTGTAACCCAAGCCTAAAGTCCCCGTGCGCAATGTTTGGCTTCACTGCCCTCGCAGCTCCTCAACAGTAGCTTCTCATTGCGTCTTCATAACCAGTTCCGCCACGTAAGTCTCGCCCAAATTTCACATGAATGTCCAAAACTTGTTGAATGTGCCGCATGCTAAGCGACTCGTTCTTGTTCATTGCCAGGTCCTGCGCAGACCCTACCATGTTCTTGATCTCGCGCCCATTCAACTCGTACTTGGCAAGCTTTTTGAGGTCTTCCTCGGAAAATGGCTCGACTGCCAATTTCCCAAAAGCTTTAACCCGATCGATGAACATCTTGAAGACGGTTTTCTTGGCTTTGCTATCTAAGCCTTCATACCTGAGGGCGATGTGTATTCGAGACTGGAATGCTTCATCGAACGTCTAACCGTCATGTTAGTTCTCACGGGTCCAACGAAACAACAGCTTTCAGAAAACGGGGGAGCTAACCTCTACACGGTTTGTCGTGAGAAATAATATCCCTTGGAAATATTCCAGTTGCCGCAGAAAAATGCTGACCAGAGCGTTGCGATGGATGTCCTGCATGTTTCGCTTCTCCAAGAACACGTCGGCCTCATCGAGCAGCAAAATGGCGCCCCATGCATGGCAAACGTCCAGGATCTTTTGCAAGCCGGCCTCTAGAAAACGAGAGTCTGTCCCGAGCTCGCCGGCCGAAGTCATGTATAGCGGGCATCGAAGCAGTTCGCTGATGCCTTCCGCCGTTAGCGTTTTACCTGTTCCTGGCGGCCCGTGAAGCACAGCTAGGCGGACACGTCAGTAAAATCAAAACCCATGGCAAAAACTAGTAACTACGAAAGAAAGGAAAATACTCACTGACAAGCCCTTTGCCTTTGCCTTGTATGACGTCGTCGATTGTCTGCGTCGCGTTTTGTTTACGTGACTTGACAAGGGCCTGGATCAAATCCTTTGTCTCTGGTGGTAGTACCAGTGAATTCCAAGCATCTTCGTTCCACTTAATGTCGTGCACTCTTGAGACGGCCAACTCCAACCATTGCTTCTCTGAGAAAGCGAAACCTAGAACTACCGGGGAAGCGAGGAGGTAGTCTTCATCGGTGAATTCCAAGCATACATCGGGATCCTCTTCCTCTGGTGTGTCCACGGCCCTTTCTTCCCCAGACGTATCAGCGCTTGATGTCCGTTCAACCATCTTGCTGCTAGTCGTTGGCGACAGTTGCGGCTGAGATGCCTTAGACCTTGCCTCCAAATCCGTCTGCAAGGCTTTTGTGACCGGTACATTGCAGTCCGAGTCTTCTGTCGTCTTACTAACCACCTTCGGTCCGTCATCTCCTTGCAAGTTGTCAGAAGAGAAGCATTCATCAAGATCATCGTCGCCGTCTGATAACCCCAAATCGGAGAGAGCGTCAAAATCCCTTGGCCGTACATTCGATAGGCAGTAGTTT